GTGTAACAGGTAAATAGAAATATGGATCAAGAATTACTTAACGGCATTTTCTCGCAAGTCTTTTTTGGTGATTTGTTTAAATGCGAGCTTGGTTTGATAGACAGCAGGCTTATAGTTGATGCTTAACGCACATTATCGTCTCTTGTGCAAAATTTATTTCTGCTTACAGGTGATCCAGAGACGAACCATAAAGACGTTTACCCGGATTTCGAGAGGATTTTGCGAAACAATAGCGTCATTCTTTATACGATCAGCAACAGTCTTACTTTCATTGGTGGCGTACTCGGAATGACTACGAATTTGACCGTTTTCTGTGCCATCGTTTTCTTGAAGAAAAAATCTAACAACATTCTTCTCTTCGCAGGTTGGTCATCTGACTTTTAAGCATGTACTTTATACCTTTGCAAAGTAAAACACGATCGATTATACCTTTACTGTTTAATGGAGCATAAAATTCAATATTTCAAATGCAAAGTCTGATTTTACAACGTGTCATTTCTTATGAATGGGGAAATTGAAAATTTATGGGGAGTACTGGTGTGGCGATTCATTTTTTAAGAACGTATAATCATAATCGCTAATCGCCGTCATGGTGATTTCGTTCTGCATGCAGTCACACAAGCAATGCCGAACTGTGGTGAAATTATTTTTAATATTCCTGTTAATAGTCAGTGTGGCACAGCCACCCTCTTTCTGATGAGCCGGCTGTACATGCCGCAGGTTCTCTCCGGTTGGGTGACACGATTAGGCCAAACGCTAGTCAATGAACCTCACCGGGACCTACAGCTCAACAAACACCTCTCTTCTGGATCTCGACGTGCTGGTAGAAGGATATGGAGGACTACGGCTATAGTTCACGATGGCTCTCACCCACCTGATTGAACTGCCTTTGAAACAAGCCAAAAATGTGTTATACGTGAAAGAATAAGGGTGATAAGTGCGGGCTACCTGCCAGCTTAGCAGAAACTGGGACTACGCAAGACCCAAAGCAAATGCCCTCAGGTGCGTGTACGAAATGATGGAAAA